GGGAATGAGGATCAAGAAACCCAAAGTAGCACATTGTCCATTATATATATCCTCTTCAGTACAACATGTTTGTCCTTTCAGCTGTATAGGGGCATTATAATGTGACAGTCAATCCCACTATTCATTGGTAAAAGAGTTGCCCAAGTGTTGGCAGTGGGTGGTGATGATTAGCTGTCTTCCTCTAGTCTTTCACTGCTAACTTAGGGACAGCTAGCGCAGATAGCCCTGATGTAGCTTTTCGCAAAATTTAAAAGAAACCAAGCCTTTTTGGTATGAGAAAGGAATCATTGGGACCCCAGGTGGAAAAGTTCTGAGAAAGAATTAGAGAGATAAGATTCATCACTTTTTCTGTGTACTTGTCTAGAAAAGTTACTTACTTAGATGAAAATTCATTGAAATAGTGAAATTTTAATTCACTCCATAAACCTGTATATATCAATTTAGGCAGCTTCATAAGTATACTAAGCTTTAGTTTTGCTCAGCCAATACTATGAAATAGTCATAGTTAATATTCAGACATTTTGAAGTTTAAATGGGAGATTTTCATGGCCACCATTTTGGTTAAGAGAGGAGTGAGCCATGCTAAAGGTAATTAAAGGTAGTGACTGTTTTATAGTGATTAAGAGAGTAGTGAGTCATGCTAAAGGTAATTAAAAGTATTGAATGTTTTATAGTGATTAAGAGAGGAGTGAGTCACGCTAAAGGTAATTAAAAGTATTGACTGTTTTATAGTGATTAAGAGAGGAGTGAGTCATGCTAAAGGTAATCAAAGCTTTTGACTGTTATATAGTGATTAAGAGAGGAGTGAGCCATGCTAAAGGTAATTAAAAGTATTGAATGTTTTATAGTGATTAAGAGAGGAGTGAGCCATGCTAAAGGTAATAACAGGTAGTAACTGTTTTATATAATTGTACTTCTAAGGAGCTATGTTAACTCACATAATCAAGCTGATTTTGAATAGAATGACATAATTTTTAAAAAGATTTATTTATTATTAAAAAGCAACTTATTATTGATGTATAAAAATTTACCTTGTATAGTGTTGAAATAAATATTTAGTCATTTATTTTTGTGTACTTAGATCAACATACCCGACGAGTAAGATCGGATTTTGAATGGGTTCGAACAGTCCTGAATTCTGGAACATTGGCAGATAAAGTTGCTGCCTACACACTTTTGATACAGGATTCACCAGTTCATAATCTCTCTAATCTTGACTCTTTGATTGCCATGGTAAATACCAAAGGGAAACGCGAGTGTATGATGGCAATTGGTAAGTTATTGTAGATATTAAATAATTTATTTTTTTGCACAGGTCTACTTTTCCATACATATTCTTATTTTCTAAGAAGTGCTATTTATTTTTAAAAAAAGTATGTTGTATTTTTATTGATATGCAATATCAAGCTGAAAAATTAAGAATTAACTTATCTTTCAGTCTTCTTTTTTGACACTGAGATGCATTTTAGTAGAGAAATACCAATTTAATTTTTACTTCATCTTTAAAATTTATTAGGAGTATTCAATTTTAGATCAGACCATAGAAATTATAAAAGGCTCAGTTTTTTCTTTTTCTAATTGAGCAATAAATGTGTAAAGATTGTCAAAGCTTTACTACTGACTGCTGAATTCTTAACATATTTCTCATGGTGGTGTTATATTGGGATGCTGAAGATAAAATTGGTACAAAAATCAAAGCTAGTGTGAATGGGTATGAGCCCTAGTGTTGAGCAATTGACTACATTTTCTTTGAAATAAATTTTATAGGAAATAATTATAATTCTGAGTGCCATTTAATATAATTTAATTTGTAGTTGTAAGACTACTTTGTCAGTGATTTATTAATTGATTATAACGTATTTCTTTTTGTAACAAAGGAGAAGGTTTTTAAAATTGTACCGAATATATATTTTTCTTTTGTATTTAGCATTTCTTTATGTGTCTGTTTAGATTCTCTACGTGATCTGTTTTTGTCAGACTTGTTGCTGGAAGACAGAAAACTTTGTAAATTTGAACAGGTATTTCAAAAGTTTTGATTATAAAAACAGAAACTAAATTCGTCATAATGTAGAGACAAGAGTAAAATAACTTAGTTATTATATATATTACAAATTTACAATAAATGTACATTTCTTACATTTCCAACTTTTTTAACCATTTGAACTGGAAAATGTGTATTTATTTTTCTTTTTATAAATTTGCTTATGGTCCTTAGGTTTTGGTCTTTATAATACTAGAAAAGAATATTCCATTACAAAGTAAATTATGTGTTTCTGGACTTTGTAGAAGCTGAGATATTATTTTGTTTTAACCTCACACTTTCAGTATGCTTTACACCCTTCTTCATGAAATGGTACAGATATCTTGTTTGTCATTTGGTATCCATGTGAAGAATGTATTGTTTTGAAGGTCAGTTTACAAGAAATGTAGTAGAATAGACATTGAGACTGTCTGAATAACAGCATTTGATATAAGTGGGAGCTTTGTGATGATTAATCACATTACAAAAATTTTTCAGACCTATTATAAGCTCAGAATTATCTTAGAGTGTGTGCTATTTTTTTTTACTATCATCCCATACTTCATTAGTTTTATACTATGTATATTTGTATGCTGTATGTATTTTTATAAATGAATAAGTTGTCAGATCTGGCTCTTAGCATAAAATTAGTTTTAGTGACAATACGACTCCTGAGTAAAGTACACTCAAATGATCTTTGAGCTCACCTCAGGTAAGTATGACAGTTCAGCAACAACAAAACATACTTATTTCACCACACCATATTTATGTATTATACTTTTGAGTTCTGGTCTTCTTGATTTAATTACATTTTTAATTATAGAACAATTACACTCTTTATGTCACTTCCTTGTGAGAAACTAGCTGACCCAATATCGAAGAAATTTGGTAGAGTAACTCAGGTGAATGAGTTTAAATGATAAGTTATTGAGTGCGGGGGTTTGAGATCATCACTATTTTGATATTTACTACTTGAAGCCAACATCAAATTAAAGTGATACATAATGTCATGCATAGCACAGATACTTTGAATCAGTGGCTCAAGTGTAACTGTCATTTCAAGTTTTCTGTTGCTATTGTCTTAATTACAAATTGTTGATTTCTGATCACCTGTATTCAGTAGATCTACATGGTGAATGCACATTCATGTTGATCCACTATCCCTGTGAAGTCAATGAAATAAGTGCCACACAGGCATGGGCAACTTCGTTAGCTAGATTTTGTATTCCAAAACATACATACCTCCACTGACACTAATAGCTAATTCTCGAACTTCATCTTTGCCATCTAATGTTGTGTTTGCTTTCTCCAGTTTTTACATATAACCCACTAGACTGCCCTCTGCAATATCTAAGTTGCAAAACTTTACGCTGGCCCTCACATGCTCTCTATGCAGGTACTATATATAAGCATTGTATACAGACGATAAAATCACTTTTTCTCGACAAAGCATTAGCATTGAGACAAACGTTTTATGATTTACATTTTCTGATAATCGGAAATTCTTTGTTGTGTTATCCTGAGATATATTTTGTTGAATTTGTTTTTTCGTACAAATATATTACCAATAAAAAAAGGATATGAATTCCAGTGTAACGGTTTCAAGCACGGTGGCTACTCAGCTTTTGTCTATTTGTTATCTAGTGGTGGTCAGCAGTCGAGGGGGGGGGTGCCACTCTCCTTGAAAGCTGTTTGTAACCTGATTCGAGGCAAGATGGAACCCTTCATATGGTCATAGGGGTCTCTCGCTGGGAGGTGCTGATTTGATTTTTCATTCTGAAATGAGATATTCTGGGGAAAATTTAGACTCCCTGTTTCCTGCTCCTTCTTTCACTAGAGCTTCCTCTCCTGAGGACTCATCTGATCAGCCACCTTCTGCCATAATTGGGACTTTAGGGTTGTTTTACATGCTTTATCTTGTCATCCCTTTGAACCCATAGCCTCCTGTTCATTATATCACCTTTCGCTCACAGTTTATTTTTTATTGCTGTTAGCTTCCAGACGTCATCGTTCTGATTTATTTGTCATTCATGTTCAGCGGACTCTCTATTAATCTACCTTTGTTTGCTCTATCCCGACCGATCATTTATTCTAAAACTCTCACTGCCAGAGAGGGAAACAAATCTTTTTCTCCTATTCATTTACCTGGCATTTCTCATCTTAACAGTAGATCAGACCCGGATCATTTGTTATGACCCATCAGGGTGATCAGATGTTGTGTGGCTCGTATGGAACCATTTCGAGGCCCTAGGAACAGACTTTTTATTCACTGGGATCCTGCAATGTCCAGGGATTTATCACATGTTACTTTAACCAGATGGCTTTGGTAGTTGATCCATATTGCCTTTTTGGGCTTATCTGTTAACGATCACAATATGCTCCACGTCACCTGTCACCAGATTTGACACCCATCGATGTCTTTGGCTGCCCAGTTGAACTGTTCTCTAGAAGATATTTTGTGGGCCAATATGTGGACTTCTCCTGACAAGTTCATATCTCATTACCTTCATGATCTGGCAATTTCCTTTTCGATGGGATTTTGTCTTCCCCCTACTAGATTTTAACAGGGTGGTGAGTAACATGTTATCTGACTTACAGTTATTGTTCTTTTCTCTTCTAGGGTCTTTATTGATTTCTTTTGGATCCCACTCAGTGGCGAGTGTTGCCCAGTTGGGTGTGCTTGTATTTAAATTTTGCACTAGCAACCTTTATATTGGTTCCTGGTTGCAATGGGCTCTGTCGAGATGAGGTGTTCCATAAGACCATCTGGATGCAATTCTGGATGGTGATATTTTAATACAATATTTCTACGGACTATCATGAGTAAAGCTAAAGGGGATTTTGCTAGTCCCTGCTGATTTTAGAGCTAAATCTGTCGAGATCAGTTTGCTTTTAAAAATTAAGAAACGTGGTTCACCTGTTGCACTGTCTCCAGGGGCCTGTTCCTCAGGACTCCCCAATGCTAATGTTCACCCCCCCTTACTTCTACTAGTGGAGCTCGGCAGTCCTTACCACACTCAGTTTCCAGTCATTGGAGTGGTGGACTGGGGATTTTCCTTCGGAGTGTTGAGTTTTCTCCACTCTCGGAGAAGTTTATAAACTACAGGAACTGATATGGGTGCCAAGAACAGGTTGTATACTAAAGAAACTTTTGTGTAGAAAGTATAGGCCACATTTGATAGAAAGTAGTTTTTGGTGGAATGATTAAAATCACATGTTATCTACTGTACTTCATACTTTTTGGGGTAAATTAAGGTTATACACCAAACCATCCATTCATTTTTTTTGTATTTGCAATAAGGCAAGTAAGTTACTAAAATTTATTTCATTTGGTAACAATTCCAGGTTACACAGTAAACAGGCTATCTTAGGGGTAATGTAAGGTACATATAAACTACTCTTTTTAGCTATAAGAGGAAATCAAACATTGAATATCAATAACTATAAGTACCTATTGCTATTATTGAACTTAAACTCTACATTAGGAAGTTGTATGGAATGAGAATCATGTATATCATCGTGTCTTGAAATTACAATCTAACTATTAATTATTCATTCCAGCATCCACTCACTATGTTAGAGGAGCTGTCAAGTGGTAATCGAGAAGCTAGAGATCGTCGTCTGTTATTGTGGTACTTTGAAGATCAACTTAAAGAACGGTACAATACATTTGTACGGGCATTAGAAAAAATATCACATGATACAGTAGAAAAGACAAAGCAGAAAGCTATAACAACTATGAGTGAACTGTTAACTCAAAATCCAGAACAAGAACAGGTTTGTATACTGGTTTATGGCAATAATCTGGCATAACATTAAATCTCTATTCAGACTTGGTCATTTTGATTAGTGCAGCAACCAGCAGGTAACCATGAAAGTATATATATACTATAACTTTTTAATGTAGCATGAGCATCTTTACTAAATATTTGTTCATGAGTATATGGAGTCAGCATGTGACTCAGTCTCTGACTAGTCTAAGTGCAAAGTGATTTTCTTTCTTTTAAGATTAAAAATACTTTTTTCATCTTACAGTTCTCAATTTTCTTTTGCATAACCTCTAGAACCTCTTAAATGAATATAAAAGCTTTGTATTTTATCTTTTATTTTCTCTGTCATAACACTTTACAGACTTTGTTGATTTGACCAACCTTGTAATCACCAGAAAAAAAAATCTAAATTACCTTTTTTTTTCTTTATTTCTTGAATGACTGCAAATTTAACTCTCTCAACACGATATCATTCAATTTGACCAATCACATGACCTCTTTGTACTCATTTAAAGTCTTTATAGATTTAAAACTTCTAAGTTTCAATATAGTGTGTATATCTTTACAATATTTGGCAGTCTTTCACATACAAAAAATCATGTTTTTTAGTGAAGTATTTTTAGTAAAAGAAAATAAAGATTTGTCCATTAATATATTGAGTATTTCTTTTGAATATTCCATGTGAAAAGTAATTTTCATGTTAAAATTAAAAATACTTTTCCTCATCTCAAAAATCTCAAATTTCATTTTTGTAATCCCTAAAACCTCCTAAATGCATTTTAAACATTGTTTTTCAGTAAAACTTTCTAGTTTATCTGTTATTTTCTAATTTTTGCATTTTAGTATTACTTTTATAACAATAAGTAAAAAGTATACATGAAAAATAAGAAATTTGGTATTTATATTAGGTCTTCCAATGAAAGTTAATTCTAGTTACTTGTAAAGATATTACTGATAACTAAAAATTACAATGTTCTAATAAACAATGTTCTATACCTATTATAATCTAATATGATTTCTAACTAAGGCATAATTGCCTTGAAATAAATCACAAAGCTGCTCGATCTGAACTCGGTGATAGTAAATTTGAACCTGCAGGCAAAATAACTAAAAATCTCAACTGAGAACAAGTAAAGTTATATGTCATTTGGTAATTTATGACTTTGACTCTATATGACTATAAGTGATGTAATAGTATATATCAGAAAGAATTATTGGCAATTTGTGAAAGAGAGGATGTAATAGGAGGGTGTGGCAAGTGGATTTGATTTTCTTGTTTATATCTCCATAAACAATAAAGATTGAAAGCTATACAACTCAGACTATGCCTTAGTAATATCTAGTAAATGTTAAACTTGGGACATCAGAGAGGGGTGGTAAAAAAATATAAAATGGGCAAGTTGAAGAGAATAATTATCCTGTTATCCAGATTAGCAGATATTGAAAATTTATTTAGATATTTCCTTTCAAAATTAAGGAATGGAAACTTGTATTACATTTTGATTTATTAACTGCATTTTGATGCCAAGTTTATTTGTAACCCTGTAAAATGTCTTGACGTGCACACTTTCAGCTATCTGTATTGAGAGAGTTAACTATGTCTAACTTTTTTTCCAAACTTAGGCACTAATTGGTATAAAGGAGAGATTCTTGTATGTATTGTGGCATATTTATTGTTGTTTTACTGCAGCTTGTGTAAGTACTTCAATGATATTGCAAGAGCATGGTTTTCTTTAGTGTCTGACACACAACAAATTTGTAAAAACTTTTAACTACTTTCCTAACATTCCTGAAAAATATTACTTGTGACTTATGTGGTACTGAAAGTCATTGGTATCCAAAAGGTAAGTATATAGATCCATCATAGGCAGCAGATTCAGAAAATGTTTTACAAAAGAACAAAATGAATACAGCAACAAAGGAGTGGAGACTCAAGCACACATGTAAAACAAAGAAGATTAATCTTTATTTTATAGGAAGACCTGATGTTTAAATGGTTGAGTTTTATTGTATTGTACTGGTCAGATTCTAAGTTTATAGGCTAACATGCTGACTGATGGAATAGAAAGGAATCAGACTTCTGCAGAAAGGATTGTGTGTGTACCACACAGATGAGTCAGAGAGTTCTTATGTGGTATCGTACAGTCCTAGCTTACCTATATCATTTGTTAACCAGTTCTTAGTTTGTTTGAGCTTTTTAGTTGCTGAAACTGTAAGGAAAATAACCATTCAGAATGAAGTCTTTGGCAGTATCCCAACATTCTATATTATCTGCATCAGTGATCATTCTTATTACATATTCAAGAGAGGATTGACTCCAAGCTTATAACAACCTTTACAAACAATTACACAACCCCTTCGCTGGGTATTACCCATACCCTAGGGGTATGTAGTACAAAACCCTGTCCAAGCAAGATAATTACGTGGCTTAAGGTATTTATGACTACCTACAACTTAGCAACTTTATGACTACTTACACCTGTTCAGTAAGATCATCACCACACTTCCACGAAATATTTGGAAAAATATTCCTGAATGAAGATATATTCCAGCTATGAAAGTGTAAAACTCTGCAGTTTCTGGCTGCCACAGAGTAAATTAGTAACACTTGTTTTAAGTACATAAACATAGGTTAATTGGGTGAGTAAAGGACAATTCAATCATAATACACACAAAAAGCTATAAAGGAATTTGTCTATGTGTCACAAAATTACTTTGGTCATAAGTTTGTAATATCATGTTGCTCATTATGCAACTTTTGTGTTTGTGTTGTAAATCAATAAAATAGCATTTTTAGGCAACATAGGCACAATAATTCTAATTTTTAAAGGCATCACCACTGTAGGTTCTAGTTTTATTTTAAAGAGGTTGATGAAATTTGTTTATACTATTTAAAAAGTGTTGAAAGTTTATTTCAAATTAATTTGATCACGGACATACTGTTTTCTTTTGTATTCTATTGCTAAAGATTTTTTTTTAATAATACTCTTTAATAGCTCTCGGCTGAACCTCCTCTTCAGGAAACAGCACCAGATGAAGTTTTATTACAGTTACGATCTTTTGCTCAAAAGCTTTTGTCTGATGATATTGAACAGTATAAAAAATGTATGTATATCTGTTCTTGTGTTTATCTCAGTGATTTAATAAAATTTATATGTTTTTGTTTGCTATTCATTTAGCAAGTAAGGTTAAGTATTATAGTATCTTTGTAACACTATAAGCAGTAGATGACTAAATACAGAAGTTGGTTACATCCGATTTATGACTGTGTTTCCAAATGAATGCTTTTTTAGTGTAGAATTATAGGTGAAGGATGTTGTAAGATACCGAAACTCATTTTTTTATATGACTTATAATTTACATCATTGTCATGATAAAGCGTAGATTGTACTAATAAAGTAGAAACTTTTTTAACATGGGCTAACTAATAGTATCTTACAAAATGTTATCAAAATATAATGTGAAATAATTATAACACATTTTAGTTAGAACTCAGATTTCCTCATGAACCTGGGAAAACTAATTGGAATGTGTAATTTTAATATTGTTTGACATTTAATATGATACAATGTGCATATAGTTGTACAACATCAGCACATAAGTGAGTGGCTGAAGGAAAGCAACATCAACAGTTATCAGCATGTGGGGTTTTGTAAGAGGATCAAAATGAGCTAATTTCACTTAGCCTCAATATTACTGCGGTGACTTTTTTCAGTTTTTGGCGAGAATAACTAGTTGTATTTAAATTAAACAAAAATTAGTTTGTGGTATACCTTTAGTTTATATGCAATACTTTTATAAAGTATATTCCAAGCTATTGTTGAGATCAAGAAAGAATACCACTTGCTGAAGGTTGGAACAGCAAATATTAAATATTTTAATCTTAGTAAATACATTGATAATTTAGCTACAGTTCATGGTAGAGGAGATTAAATACTAGATACAATATACAGAGATACTGAAAAACTAGATATGCATTTCAGATGTTCTAGAGGTTATGCAAATTCAATATGCAAACTGTACAGTGGACAAAAGTATTTTTATTCGTCACATGAACATTACTGTGCACTCCGACTTCTTAAAATCTAAGTCAGATCTTCAGTGTGGATACACATAGTGAATTTGAAATCATAGTCAACATTCCTTCTCCAATACTGGGTCGGACAAGTTGACTGTTCCCATGGCTGTTAGGTTAACTTGTGTAAGGCTGACTTTCCATAGTTGAAAGTACGAGAGATGGAGTAATGTTTTCGTATTTGTATTTTACAGCAAATATAGTAAAGCATTTCCATGTATTTGTGTGAATTTGTACAGTTCAGAACTCCTTATTAATTCCTTGAAGTATTTATTTTTTAATTATATTGCCAAGTTTCCTTTTTTACAAGATCATATACAAGTTTTAGTTATTTGAATAGACTTTAAAGGAATTCTAGCATATTTTAATAATGATGAAGCTGACTTACTGTGTTTGAATACTCATAAGTCAGGCAAAGAAATAGTCTTAAGTAATCAATGTTTATGGTTCCAAGAAAAGAGATAACTCTATCCTGGAAAGTGCTTGAAGAGTATGGAATTTTGTTTTGTACAATCCCTATAGTTTTATTGAGTAAAGAGGATTTTGATATTCTTCGATCAAAATTTTTAAATGCAAGTGCAAATTTTAACAAAATTGATTCAATTTTATTTTCATAGATGCTGATAAGTAAACTTTTCCATTGAAAAAAATATGTGTGGTGATATTCCTTTTCTGTATAAAATTATTGTGAACTTAGATATTGGTTTTAAATAATTGAATGTTTGTAAACAATTTCATACCTCTTCTAATACTTTTGTCTTGTGTGAAATATTCCTTTTCACAATCCAACAGATCTTTTCTAGAAGTCATAGGATAAGTGTTACCAATGCATTGAGAAAAAGCAGCAAAATGTTTAACTATAAAAAAATAATGGTACAGAATAATCACTGTTATTGAAATATATACACACATTAATTGAATATTGATTTAATAGGGCACTTGATATTGACTGAGAGATTCAGAAGTCTTGAAGTGTATTGTGTTTATTCCTGCTAGAGGTGGTATTATGATGCTGTTAGTAATGTTTCTGTTGATTGTAGTATACCACTTGATATTGACTCAAGAGTTTCAGGACTCTCAAGATCACACTTTGGGATTTTCTTAGCTTATCTTAAGATTCATCACTTCTCTACTCCAAAATGGAAATTAATAACAAAAATTAATCATTAAACTGAAAGTGCTGAAATTATTCTTCCTGAACTATGATCAGTATTTTATTTAAAGAGAATAACCAGAATTATGGTACAAGAAAAAGATAATACAGTTTAATTACTGTTTTAGTTCTTACTTTTGCAAAAGCTGCAGCAAAATATGATATATTATTGACAGAGAATTTTTACCATCATGTGAAAAATATGCATTTTTCAAACATTCCAAGTTCACCATCATGTTTTCATATTTGTTGGACCAAAGCCATTTCATTTCCCTTGCATACTTATTTCTCCTTTTTGTCCTTTCTGAATGGTCAAGAAATTAATAACATCTTATATCATAGAAACTCACTTGCACATATTCACTTTTGTGTTAAATATTGCAGTTGTGACTAACTGCTGAAGTTACTTGCAACAGTTTACAAAAAATACTGTTCAAATATTTTAAGCAGAAGTTGCTTGAAATGACTACTTGATATGGACAAAAAATACTTTAATAAGGATTCTGGTGTTAAAATGTAAAAAAAAATTTCTACATTTAATAAACAAGAATTGGTATAGTACACTTAATCATTCTCATTAGAAGAAAAAGTAAACACTCCAGGGGTGTGTCCACAGGATGGAGGAAGGGGTAGGCAATTGCCCTTAAGTTGAGATATCACATTTTGCAGTCAATTGCTTTCAGAATATAATTTAAAGCTTAATTGCTTTCTTGAATTTGAAAATATTATTAAAAAATTTGTCTCTTGTATTTCATTAGTAACAAGTATAATAAAAAATGTAAATTTTGTAAAGACAAGTAGAAATAGATATATACATAACCTAGCTAGCTATAGTAATATAGAAAGTTTTAATGGTACAAAAAGTATTGAAACAAGAAAGACGAAACTACAAAAACTGAGTTATTTAACATGTAAACAATTTTAATCCTACTCTGGCAAATCATTATAATTATGTTAGTCTGAGCCATAGTAGGTATGAAATGTTATTAAATTTTAAGTAACTCAGTCTTTGTAGTTTTACTTTCTTGTTTCAATACTTTTTTGTAGAATTAAAACTTTCTTTATTATTATAGCTGGTTAGGTTACATATATATCAATTCTACTTGTCTTTATAAAATAAAATAAAAATTACTTATTCTTGTTTGTTTCCTTTTTATTAGCTATATTTTTATGCGCCAGTAATACCAAGCGTGGGATACCTGATAAAATTTTATTACTCATCAGAATCTCCACCAACTTACCCTCAAATCTAATTATATGTTTGTAGAAGCTAAACATGACTGTTTACTTTGGGCAGTAAATGTATTTTAAATTGAGTTATTTTTTTATTGTAAAATTCTCAACTAATTGTTTTTCACATGCATATAAGAGATTGAATATATCATGTGCATTTAATGCAATTGAAAAAAATGATCAGTAAAAACAACATATTTTTTCTCAACTAACTTTAACCCACTGAGAGACTCAGGACACACCCTAACCCCTATATATTTTCCAAAGAGCACAACCTATACCAAATTCCTAGATTTTGCCCTGAATAGTTTTATATTTAAATATTTCTAACACTAACGCAGGTTGAGCAATGAATACAGTCAAAAACATGTATGTATGAAATTCATGTAATCATTATTAATGAAACATAAAACTTGCACTAAAGTTCTTTTTTCTCAGCTAAAGAAGAAACAATGCCACATCCTACAATATTTTGGATTTCATTAAAATATTGATACGAGATATAAAACAATTCTACTGCTTAAAGCAAATGTTCCTAAACTCACATTTCTAAAAAGAGAACATATAAATAGAGTAAAACAAACTAAGATTTTAAACCAGGTATTTGTCTTTTAGAAGCATACTGAAGATTATATGATATATTTAGTATACAATCTCTCATATTTAAATATAAAATTTTACACTGGATGCCAATTATATTGGTCAAAATATTAATATTTCTTTACTGTCATGATAAAAAATAAAAGTTTATGGTAACAAAGGTCAGCATAAGGAGGTTAGCTTTGTAAGTTACTATTACATCACAGTGAATAAATGTAACACCACACACATATTAGGTCGTCAAGAAAGTAATGTCCCTTTTTTTTAGATGAAAAACCCCAACTTATACATCAAAACAAAACATTTATTAAATGAAATAGTCTCCATTCTTATTGATGATGTTTTTCCATCTTACAATCAGGTTGTTAATGCAATGATTAAAGAAATCACTTGCAAAGAAGCATTTTCCCATTAAGATGGTGTTGCAGCGAACGAAAAATATAGTAATCTGATGGTGCCATATCTGGAGAATATGGTGGGGGACAACTTCCCAACCCAACTCCATAATCTTATGTTGCGTCAAACATGCCACATGTGGATGTGCATTGTAGTGGAGAAGAAGAACACCATTCCGATTGACGAGTGAAGGGTGTTTCTAATGAAGGGCTTGATTCAAACATTCCAGTT